TCCAAATTAACCAAAGCTGTGGTTAATTTACGAAAAAGTTAAATTAAAAGTTAAACTAAACCTAAATATGTCTAAAAAAAATAACTACTCTTAACTATTTTCAATAGTTAAAATTAGCAGTTAATATAACGTTATCTAACTTCTAAAATAACCTACTTTTTATCTTTTAAGTAATATAACCAACTAGTTAAATATTTGGTTTATTTATAGTCAATTTAAACTCTTGAAATATCCTTAATTTACCTAACGGTAAATTTAGGTTATTTCAAGAGTTTAAATTGACTATAAATAAACCAAATAATTAACCTGTTGGTAATATTACCAATGGGTTTTGTTTATTAGTTAAATTATACTAAAAAATAACCTTTGAGTTTACCTTAAGGTTATAGCAACCGGTTGGTAAATTTAAAGGGTTATTTTATAGTTCATAGTAACCTTAAAAAAATGTTAATGGTTGACTACAACTAATTGGTTAAAAAACAAGTTTTAAAAAACGTTATTTTACTTAGATTTTGGTTAATTTACTTAGAATGCTAGTTATTTAACTAGTTGTGCTACTTGGGTCGTTATTCTCAAATTTTCGATAGCTTGCATTATCGAAAATATGCGAGAGAAAAATAAATCCTCAGACACGTATCTCTTATTTTTCGACATAGAATCCGTAAAAAAAGTTTCAGCCAAATCTGAGATGTGTCGGTCAAAAGGTGTTCGGTTTGTAAAAGAATTACCCATATACACCCTTTAAATTCTGTTCCTGAAAAGGGTTTTTCTAAGTATTTTTGACTCATTTAGAGTGAAATTTGGCAAACTTACTGTAAATACAATACAGTTGAACTGTTGGTCAGGGGAGTCCCAAAAATATAACCCCATTTTTTGGCCATTTTTAACCAACATTTTTAAAATAAATGGTTTTTAAAACTTTATTGTTTTAAATAAACGTTATGATAGGGAATTGAATGCTCTACAAAAAAGGTATCTTATGTTTTTTCGTAAACCTAGCCAATCCAAAGATTTATTAAGTGAAATTTAAAAAGGTTTTTAAAATTTTATAACTCGTACAATAGTTAACTATAATGAAATTTAAAATTAGAGTAGATACACTATTTACTTGTCATTTTTTTAAATATCTTTATAAATTTGTGTTATTAATTAAAATAAAGTTTTACCTATTTTTTTCTGAAATTTTATTTTATTTTTTAAGTATTCCGCTATACTAATAATGATAATAAAATATTTATTTTCTTCAGAACATATTACATATTTAATGTATTTTATACATATGTGGAAAATGTCACAAAATATAAATATAATTGTATAAAATGTGTACATTACAAAAATATAAAAGGTGTAATATAATGAAATTTAAAATTAGAGTAGATACACTATTTACTTGTCATTTTTTTAAATATCTTTATAAATTTTTGTTCTTATTAATTAAAATAAGGTTTTACCTATTTTTTTTTCTGAAATTTTATTTTATTTTTTAAGTATTCCGGTATACTAATAATTATAATAAAATCTTTATTTTCTTCAGAACATATTACATATTCAATGTATATTATACATAATATGTATAATAAACAAATTATGTGGAAAATGTCACAAAATATAAATATAATTGTATAAAATGTGTACATTACAAAAATATAAAAGGTGTATAAGTACATTACAAAAGTATAAAACAAAAAGTGTAAAAGCACAAAATAATGACAATTTGTCAGAAATGAGTCTCTTGGATGAGATACATTTAAAACATTTATTTGCCACATACCAATAAATTATTATTATTATCGAAAAATAAGAGATACGTGTCTGAGGATTTATTTTTCTCTCGCATATTTTCGATAATGCAAGCTATCGAAAATTTGAGAATAACGAGTTTTTTGGCTTGGAGACTCATTTTCAAAAATTTATAACTCTAGTTCTATTTGAGCTACAAACTTCTTTTTTTTTAATTTTAAAGCCAAAGGACTAAGTTTTGATAAAAAAATATTTTTAATAAATATTATTAACAAATTCATATTGTTATTAACAATTTCATTGTTTAAATCAATTTTTAACAATGGCCCCCACCTCGTATTTAATTTGTAGTATTTTTATCGTATTCTCCGTCAAATTTTACATGAAAAACATGTTTTCAAAATATGGTACCTTTATTAATTAATAACATTAATTCATATTGGGAGACACACAAAAAAAACGGTTTTTTGTTAATAAAAAGAAAACTATAGCTCGGATCAAAAAAAGTGAAATATAAAAGTTGTAGATAATAAAAAGATCTACAATTTTTATTTTAACTATTTTTCGACATAACCTCACTTTTCAAATAAATTAAAATTTTTCAATTTATTTGAAAAGTGAGGTTATGTCAAAAAATAGTTAAAATAAAAATGTAGATCTTTTTATTATCTACAACTTTTATTTTTGACTTTTTTTGATCCGAGCTATAGTTTTCTTTTTATTAACAAAAAACCGTTTTTTTTATGTGTCGCGCTATATGAATTAATGTTTTAACAATATTAATAAAGGTACCATATTTTGAAAACATGTTTTTTATGTAAAATTTGACGGAGAATACGATAAAAATACTAAAAACTTAATACGAGGTGGGGGCCATTGTTAAAAATTGATTTAAACAATGAAATTGTTAATAACAATTTAAATTTGTTAATAATATTTATTAAAAATATTTTTTTATCAAAACTTAGTCCTTTGGCTTTAAAATTAAAAAAAAAGAAGTTTGTAGCTCAAATAGAACTAGAGTTATAAATTTTTGAAAATGAGTCTCCAAGCCAAAAAACTCGTTATTCTCAAATTTTCGATAGCTTGCATTATCGAAAATATGCGAGAGAAAAATAAATCCTCAGACACGTATCTCTTATTTTTCGACATAGAATCCGTAAAAAAAGTTTCAGCCAAATCTGAGATGTGTCGGTCAAAAGGTGTTCGGTTTGTAAAAGAATTACCCATATACACCCTTTAAATTCTGTTCCTGAAAAGGGTTTTTCTAAATATTTTTGACTCATTTAGAGTGAAATTTGGCAAACTTACTGTAAATACAATACAGTTGAACTGTTGGTCAGGGGAGTCCCAAAAATATAACCCCATTTTTTGGCCATTTTTAACCAACATTTTTAAAATAAATGGTTTTTAAAACTTTATTGTTTTAAATAAACGTTATGATAGGGAATTGAATGCTCTACAAAAAAGGTATCTTATGTTTTTTCGTAAACCTAGCCAATCCAAAGATTTATTAAGTGAAATTTAAAAAGGTTTTTAAAATTTTATAACTCGTACAATAGTTAACTATAATGAAATTTAAAATTAGAGTAGATACACTATTTACTTGTCATTTTTTTAAATATCTTTATAAATTTGTGTTATTAATTAAAATAAAGTTTTACCTATTTTTTTCTGAAATTTTATTTTATTTTTTAAGTATTCCGCTATACTAATAATGATAATAAAATATTTATTTTCTTCAGAACATATTACATATTTAATGTATTTTATACATATGTGGAAAATGTCACAAAATATAAATATAATTGTATAAAATGTGTACATTACAAAAATATAAAAGGTGTAATATAATGAAATTTAAAATTAGAGTAGATACACTATTTACTTGTCATTTTTTTAAATATCTTTATAAATTTTTGTTCTTATTAATTAAAATAAGGTTTTACCTATTTTTTTTTCTGAAATTTTATTTTATTTTTTAAGTATTCCGGTATACTAATAATTATAATAAAATCTTTATTTTCTTCAGAACATATTACATATTCAATGTATATTATACATAATATGTATAATAAACATATTATGTGGAAAATGTCACAAAATATAAATATAATTGTATAAAATGTGTACATTACAAAAATATAAAAGGTGTATAAGTACATTACAAAAGTATAAAACAAAAAGTGTAAAAGCACAAAATAATGACAATTTGTCAGAAATGAGTCTCTTGGATGAGATACATTTAAAACATTTATTTGCCACATACCAATAAATTATTTAGAAAAAAGTTCCAAAAATAACCTTGTCATATTAAGAACTAACCATTAGACCATACGGGATATACTTTATATTAAACAAAACTTATCATTATTCTGCGCGCGCGATTATCTTTGAAACGCTTACATTACAAACAAAAATATGTATTACCCTTTTAAACCCTAAAAATTCTGCAAGTTATAAAATACTTCTTTTTCAAAACTTTTTCAACTTTGTCCTAAAATATCTTATAAATCGACGTGTTTTCGAAAAAAACATAGGATAAATTTTTTGTATAGCATTTAATTTCCTATGTATTACAATATAAAGGGGATCTAGCTACGAGTATTTTTTAGCACTATAGGTATGATTATACAACATTTTTTAAATATTTTAAGAAGTTACCACCTGCGAAATTTTCCAAAAACCTTTGATTTTAACCAATTTTAAATTATAATATACCGGTATATTATAATTTAAAATATGCCTATACAACTTTTTAAAATGTTTCAATACAACGCCAGATTTAAAGTTATAACCAGTGGTTAATTATTTAAAATTTAAATTCTCTATAACTTGTTTTTGTTTACCAGTTATATTTTGCTAAAATAAAAACAGCTGCAATAAATTAATTATATTTACTATTATTAATATTTCAATTATTATACCTTATAAGATCTTGTATCTGAAGATAAACATATTTATAAATACATTTATTTAGTATTGTTATCTCATATAGCATATCAAGTGCTTAAAAACTGTCTGGATACTTTTTAAAATTATTTCATTAATTTAGTCTAAATATTGGTACATAAAAATTGCGTTAAAATTAGTCCTCTAGTCCTCATTTAGAAATTACTTGGGTATTTTTATTTTTTTTAAATGTGTTGACGAAATCGGTGCATATCTGAAGCTAATTTAAATAAATCAATTGTTAATTGATAACCTTATTGCTCTTAGTGGCAATGTTTGGACTTAACCAATTAATAATAACAAACAAGTGCATTTTTAGCATTTTATTTAGTTGCATACATTTTATTATAAAAATAACAAAATTGCACAATAACATGATAGACGTATATCATTGATTCAATGATATTTTAGTTAATGTAACATACCACCAATTTTATACAAACGAAAATAATTAAGAATATATAAAATTTGTACAAAAATACCAACGTATTTATATAAAACATTAAAATATAAATAATATATACAATAAAAATTAATTACTCAATCTTTCTAAATATTTACAATATAAAAAACTTATAGGTAGCAAAGCATAAATAATGTGGAGCATTTCCCATCGCTCCAAAAGTGTTCAGGCTCTTTCATCTCTCTCCGAAAATGAGAATTAAGTGCGTTCAAAATTAGCGCACACCAGTGGTCATGGGCCTTGGGAAACTGTCTTGACGTTTTCTCATGAAACCAAGAACATTTTTAAATGGTATTTGCATGTGGTAATATGCACAATATGGTACTGGATCCCATAGAGCAAACAAAGCTTCCCTTTTATCCAAAACAGTACCAATTAGTCTTGTAACGGATTCCATATTACTGCTGATCTTGACGTTTTTAGGCGGCTCGGGAATCCTGCAGGTCCCGTCCTCGCTAATCATGGGGCCGGAAAACTGGCGTCTTAAATGCTTGCACGGTTTCCATACCAACCTTGGATGCACATTCGTGTAGCAAATGTAAGGCAAAGAAACGCCAACTCGACTAGACAGTGGGATTATAGCGTTGGTGTCTTTCGATATGACAAATCTGAAGCTCACATGTCCGGTTATCGGCCTCATCAAGTTTAATTTAGCGAAGAAGTTCGTCAGCCACAAATTGACTTCTTTGTTTTCCTCGGGAACCAACTCGTTGTTTTTACCCAGGCGACAGGTGACATTTGCAATAACTTGCGATTGTTTTACTGTGGTACAAGTTAGGAAATGTTCGCCTTCTATGTCTTGGACTACAACCCATGGTCGTTGCTCGCTTATATCGTACGGTAGTTTTAACTCGCTTCTAGATAATGGTAAAATTAGTTTAGATCTCTCCCTTAAACCGCTTGGTCCTGATGTGGACATTACGTACATTCCCATACGAATTGCGCCAGTATCATACAACCTATTAACATCCGCTTGGGATGTTATGGCGTGGTACGTTGGCGTGGTAATGCCATATTTTTGACAGCGTTTTAGTACTTCCAAAGTATCATCCAAAACCCAAACCTCCTTGATCCCCGGGCAAAAACATGTGCAACCCAGCAACTCTAAATGTGGCTTAGCAACGGCATCATAGTAGGCAGATGTAGTTGCACTAACTGGAACATAGTAGACTGCCTGTTCTCTATCGACTATTTCGCACAAGGCCCTTACGTAATTTTGCTGTTGGTCGCTGGTGGGTTTCGGCACTGTGTAAAATTTACTGACAGCCGTTGAGAACCTCGATAAAGCAAATAAACCTTCCACTTCACAAACTACAACTCTAGCGCCGGCAGAGTAAAAGTTACGTGCCAAATGCAGAGCTTGAATGGTGCTGCCTCCGCTGATCAAAACGGTTCTTTTTTTCAGGTGTACAGGTTGGTTGCTCGAAAAGACGACAGATAGGAGTAGACGAGTGATGGTTAGAGGCATTTGTACGATTTGGGTGATTATCCACATCCACATGGAAAACCATAGCATCGGTAAGGCAAAGATAAGTTGCCTCCATGTTTGGGGCATGATCGCCAAAAAGATGGCTTTGGCGATTCTTAGGAGAATGCATGGATACCATCCTATTAGAGCAGATAGAGTGGAGAAAGATTGATCTTCTTCGAAAACACTTAAAGTTGGGCTTTGCGCTCTGGAATCCCTGGCGTCGGACTGAATGACGAAGGGCTCGTGGATGCAATTTCCCAAAGAACTGGATCTTCGTATTCTTCTTCTTCTTAAAGTGTTGTCGGGAGATGTCGAAATGGGGGAAAACGAGCAAGGGGATGATGGGCTCTGAAATCCATGGTCTGCAGACCCGCTGCTGATGCTACAGCCATTAATGCTCTCGGTGCTGGGCCAGACTCTCGACAGACTTTCGGACGTACAGCTTGGCATTTTTAGGTTGTTTACACTACAAACACAACACTAAACGTACTACACATCGAACGTCCAACAATTAAATAAACAATTTCGTTAAACCAGCACGTATCTTATAGTCGAAGTGCACTCTGCCCTGTGTACCCTGGCGTCCCCTTCCACACACTATCATCTCGAAAAGGCATGCACGCTATTGAGGTAGTCCGAATGTTTGGAGATGTTTTAATTACCGACAGACGTTGATAAAGAAAACTCTCTACACATCCTTATCAGGGTTTGCGACAAATATATATTGGACATCTTTTTAATCTTATTTGTTTTATGTCTAGGTATATTAATATGCCCTCATTCCTTATTAGCTAATTTGTTTGTGTAAAATAGATGGATCAGTACCTAATCTACTTAAAATGTATTTTTTTGTTTCTACATTTTGGTTTCTACACCTGTTAAAGTAATAGGTGGGGAAATTGTATTATAAACTATAGATATAGGAGGTTGACATACGCAAGTAGTTATTTTGTAGAAGACACCCAAGTAAAAATTATAAAAAATTATATTTGTATGTACCTTTTCCTAAATTATTGTATCCATACCTGTAATACTTTATTAGTTCGTAGCAGTGGCGGCTGGTCGATTTTGGGCACACCCATATCTCAGTTATTAGATATGGGACCCACATCAAATTTATATGAGTTTATAATGACATTATATAGACAAGTTCTGCGCAAGCAGAATTTAAATTAAAGTTTGCGAAAAAAGTTAGTTTTTAAGTGCAACCCCCATGGGGCTGCAGCCTCCTGCCCCTCCAAATTAAGATAATTCAAATTAAAGTGGTACAATATTTAATTCACTGAAGTTTATCAACAAATTTTAAATTTTATTAAAAAAATTCAAGAATTACACGTTTTATACCATTTATAATTTTTATTAATTCTTTTACTAAATTAAAAAAAATTTGAAATGGTATAAAATCTGTAATACTTGAATTTTTTTAATAAAATTTGAAATTTGTCGATAAACTTCAGTGAATTAAATATTGTACCACTTTAATTTGAATTATCTTAATTTGGAGGGGCAGGAGGCTGGGGGTTGCACTTAAAAACTAACTTTTTTCGCAAACTTTAATTTAAATTCTGCTTGCGCAGAAATTGTCTATATAATGTCATTATAAACTCATATATTATAATTTGATGTGGGTCCCATGTCTAATAACTGGTTCGTAGGATTTAAAATCAGAATAAACATATTAATATTAACGGTTTTTTTTATACAGGGTATCCCAAAAATGACTTATTAGCAGGAGAATATTTTTGTATGGGTTTTTAATGTTTTATTTTATTTTTATTGGTGACCGACCGAGGTCAAAAATGGCCAAAAATCCTAATTTCGGCAGCAGTTAAGATTCTCATTAATTTAATTTGTAGAATTAAGACTTAACTATTAAAGAATTAAGAAAATAGCAATATTATTTTGAGAGAAAGGCATTCATTATAAAAGAACCTGTTAGTTAGTAACAGAAACTTCTTGAAAATAAGTACCTACGCTCATGTGGAAATTTTTCTCTGAAAAAGTTTTAATAAGTAAAAATAAGAATTTTGATAGTCTTACTTTCTTTTAAAAACTCGAATAAGATTTATTAAGACTTTTAGGAGAGAAATGGTAGGTACCTAGGTTTAGCTATAGCAATAAAAATAAACATTCGGAATTATTTAGAGGTTGTATTTGGTTATTGAAAAATAAAATACAAAGAAAAGTATTTATTAACATTTTTGCTGCTTTGTTATAAGCCAAGTTTACCTATAGGTACAATAAAACATGTAAGGTGTAATAATTATAACAATTATAATTTTTTACATACGATGCGCGTATCTTGCTTTCATTGTTGCAACTGTACGTTTTATTTTAATAGGTTCTTTTTATATACGCAAAGGGTAATTTGCAAATTCCGATTAAAATAATAACTTAAGAAATTTGCAGTAAATAATATTAATATATTAGTAATTATTAATATAATAATATAATATATATATAATAATATAATATATTATATTAATTAGTAAATATACGATATTGTATATTGCATATTTACTAACTAATATTTAGAAAATATGCAAATCTTTAAATTTAGTCGACTTAAAAAATATCGTTTATGGCTTTTTTTAAATAATTTTTTAGCCAATGCATTCCAAAAATAAAAAAGAGGGTAAAAATTCCGACTTTCAACTGTTATCGGTAAAAAGCGATTTACAGACATGTAACAGAAAAAGAAAATTGTCCAGAATTCGATTGCGAGTCGATCCATACATTTAAAGGTACATCTATCGGTGCTCCTTTGCCCACTTTCGGCATTGGCAGCTGGCCAAAAATCAATGTTTTTTTTTTTGGAAACCAAAATAAGGTATTCTACAGGGTGTTATGTAATTAATGTTATATATTAAAATACTGAATACCTTTTGACATAAGGTGTAATGGAAAAATATTTTAAAAGATATTTTCCCAAAGATAAAGAAAATATATGCATTAGAAGTTTTTTATATTTTTTTGTGATACGCCCCTGGTTACACACTTGTGTTCTGTGAGTACATAGATACAAACCAACAAAGTAGCTGCGCGTTGCCAGTTGTAAAAAATTGTTACTAAAAAATTTGTTTGCATAAAATAAATAAAAAATCAATAAATACAAAAGTTTTATGCCCTTAAAGCTCTAATACCATTCTGTATTTATTTACTCATCCAGCTATTTTTTCATCGGTTTTTTTCTTTCTGTTTACTCAGATGAAATTAGGACAAGTTCACAGGTTAATCGTTAAACATTTAATTTGTGTAAATAAATCCAAACGCCCAAAAGCACTTCCCTTAGTTAAGATATTTACAATTTGAGCCCATAACCTACAATTTTTTGACAGAATGTGTTACCAACCATAACATAATAAATTAAACCAGATTAACTTAAAGTAAAGTAAATCATTACGAATTATGAATAAAGTTTAAATCTGGTGTGTCTAAATTTAAATATATTTTTTATAAGTATGTTAAAACGATTTTTAAAAAATCATTAGTTTACAAATTTTTACAAGGTCTAATTAGTGATCTAGCGATTTCAGGTTTTTATTTTTTTTTCAAGTTTTTTCAGGTTTTTATTCTTTTATAAATATTTTGAAAGTTTAAAAATTTGTATTTTATTAGTAATAATAATAAGAAATTAGTGCGAAAGATTTTATGCTATGGCGGGTCGGGCGCTCACAAATATTCAATTAACAAATATGGTTTTGTGTTACGGGGAAGCGATGCAAAATGCTCGTCAAGCAAGAATTTTGTAGGTATATTCAAAATTATCACAACGCCAATGAAGGACATCAACCGCCCTCGGAGCAAAGTTTTGTACGTGCTGTGCAAAATTTAAGGGACCGCGGAAGATATAGCGCATTTGTTGGTGATAGGGGTCGGGCTCAGGGACGTGAATTTGTGGCCCTTGAAGAGCAAATTTTGGACGAAGTGGAAGCAAATCCGAGAATTAGTACAAGACGATTAAATGCCCAACTTGGACAAATGTCCAACTTTGTTACGTGGCGCACGATTCACGAAAATAGTTTGTACCCCTATCACCTACAAAAAGTTCAAGCTCTTCAGGATGAAGATTATGCACTGGAATTTTGCCATTGGTATATACAGAAAAATCAAGAAGATGCTGATTTTTAATTTTACATTTGGCAACACTGCATTAAAAAGTAATAGGCAAGGTTAATTCGCGGTTCCTAGTCGATCAGTGGCGTACTTTTTGGTAGGATAAAGGTTATTATAAATTATTTTTAGCCTTTGGAATTTAGAAAAAAAAAGTTTCAGGTGCTTCTTTATGGACCCTAAGGAACTACCCATTTTAATATATAACATTAATTACATAACACCCTGTATAAAGAACCTATTCCTGCACCAAATGTCAAAAATATGTGGCTATGTTTTATCCATTTTGGCTTTGAGAAAGCGAGGGCCTACCGCTGAAGGTACGTATGATAAAGTTTTAATACGAGGTTTATGTTATTCATGCATGATGTATTATAATAGTGACCTCAAAGTGATCTATTCAGAAACTTTTAGTCAACAAAAAATTAAATGAAAAACATGTTTTTAAAAAATGCGTCGATCCGCCCAGATATAATTTCTATCAAATTACAAAGTTAACAAGTTACTTAACATAATATTAAAAATTTGGCTGCGACCAATTGCGATTTTTGTTTTAAGGACGCTTACAAGGTATATATACCTATAGGTAAGCATGGATCGTGCTTATAAGCCTATAGGCGCGTTGGCAGCCAAACTTGTACAATAATGACGAGCCTGATGTGGAATTCCATATTAATAATAATTCCATATTAATATCCGGGTGATGTGGATGTAGTTATAAATGAAGATTCTATTTAAGAAAATTAATTTAATTAATTTGATATTAAATTAAATAAATTAATTAAATGTTGTATTTTTATTTTGCAACCTTGAATTTGTATAACTTGACCTCCGAAAACATTAATTAGTGTTAACACTCATTTTTACGGGTGCAACGTTATTTTTAACAAAAACCGGTTTGCAAACACACCTTACTACCCGGACAACAATCGGGATTTCCTGGTAAAGTCATGATGATATCACAACGTGATTTTTTTATCACGCTGTGATATCCTGAGTGCATACACATGCTTCATCACGGTGATATCATGTAGAACTCACGGTGTGATATTTGTAAAATTTGCGCATGCGTATGAGCCCTGCGAACTGCGAATTTAAAACCTAGTGTGTTATTCACATTACACCGTTATAATTTATAAAACGTTGTTTGAATATCACGAATGTTGTCCGGGTTCAATTAAAAAAGATATTCCAATGTTTAACAAAACGTGAACGTTTTGTTAAACATTGGAATATCTTTTTTAATTGAACCCGGACAACATTCTTGATATTCATACGAACATCATGTCGTGATTTTCACAAATTTTATTCATACTGATATTATACGGAAGTCACCGTGTGATAAATGAAAATCATACGAACGTCACGTCGTGATTTTCACAAATTTTATTCATACGGACATCATCCGGATGTCACTGCGTGAGAAATGAAAATCATGTCGTGATTTTTTATGCCATCACTGTTTGCGATTGACCGATGGCCCAAAAAATCACGACATGATTTTTTTATGCTATCGGTGTTTGGGCATAAAAAATCACGACATGATTGTTTATGCCATCGGTGCACCGATTTGTTTGGATATTTATTTTTGCGCCACATTCGTACATTGAAAGAAAAAGTATGTTAACAATAATTGTTAACAATTATTGAATTACCAGTTTTTGCGGTCAAATACATTTAATATTTTCTTGGATGTAAATTAACTAATAATTGTAATCCAAAAAAAATATTGAATGTATTTAACCACAAAAACTGTTGATTCAATATATATATGTAGGTATACTTTTTCTCTCAATGTACGAATGTGGCGCAAAAATAAATATCCAAACACCGATGGCATAAAAAATCACGACATGATTTTTTATGCCATCGGTGCACCGACATGTTTGGATATTTATTTTTGCGCCACATTCGTACATTGAACGAAAAAGTACGTTAACAATTGAATCAACATTTTAACATTCAATATTTTCTTGGATTTAAATTAACTATATATAGTTAATTTAAATCCAAGAAAATTTTGAATGTATTTAACCGCAAAAACTGTTGATTCAACATAATTTTTCTCTTAGTGTACGAACGTAGCGCAAAAATGATTATCCAAACACCGTTGGCATAAAAAATCACGACATGATTTTTTGTGCCACCGTTCAATCGCAAACAGCGATGGCATAAAAAATCACGACATGATTTTCATTTCTCACGCGGTGACTTCCGTATGATATCAGTATGAATAAAATATGTGAAAATAAATGTTGTCCGGGTACTACTTTTTTTTTTAACGTGACGTCAGTTTTTTTAAACTTCGTCCGCCATTTTGTAGCGGTCATTTTGTTTTTTACTATTTTGACCGCAAATTCGAATTCTCGGACCCCAAAAACATAGAGGTATTTTTCTATGGCATAGTTGCTTAGAAAATAAATCTTTTCATTGGCAAGGCAAAACAAGTATGTAAAGTGACATTTCTGTGTGAAAAAGTCTGTCAAACACTTTTTTGGTTATTTTTTTGTATTTGAAAATAATAAAAAATAAAAGGGTCGTAGAAAAAACATTGTGTTTCACTTGTGAGAAAAGCTTTCTTCAAGCTCGTGTTAATGCACACTCGGCCTAACGGCCTTGTGAGCAACTAAAACACTCGCATGAAAAAGTCGCCTTTCAACACTAAGTCTTATGTAAATTATTTATTTTCAAATAAATTCGCTCTCTATTTGAATTTTAGCCAGCTTTTTGTGTGTTTCCGAACACTGTGCGCCGGCGTTATAGTAGGTACATATAATTTGTAATTATCCGACCGAAGCTTCGCGAAGGTGAGTTTTTCGGCCGAAACCGATGTTCGAATATTTTAAGACCTTTGGCCGAAGCCGAATTAAAAAAATTTCTCTTTCGGCCAAATAAGCGGAAGCGTACTTTCTACTGGGAAATTTTTACAGGCAGTCTTTTATCACAGTAAAGTGCCGGTACGGGTCCAGTAGCAAAATGTTGCCTGGCTATTTTTACTGCAGTAAAAATAGCCATTTTTAAATGGACCGGACGACATTCTGCTGCTGGACCCGTACCGGCACTTTACTGTGTTTGATAAAAAACGGTTTGACACTAAAATTATTATTTATTAATAAAATTAATTAAATTTAACCTACAATTCGAATTGATCTGATCAGATGATATATCATCATATATGATTAGGTATTATTATCTTGTAAACAAAACATAGAAAAAGAATTTAAAAAGTTAGGTTATGGTTATGCAGTAGTTCCACATTTAACTAAGTAGTAGTTTAATTGACTTTACCCCTTCGATCTTAGCGCCACCTAGCGGCTTGGCACGTTAAGGAAGCCACCTCGAAGCTTAAAGTTGCAAGACCTGTATAATATATTATAAGACCGTGACTCAGACACACGTCCCCAAGGCCCAAAATGCTTGTCACGTAGTGGTCTACCACCGTTAAAAATGAGATCGGTTTTAGATTTTATTTAATTTCAAATAAAGCTGAATTATTAATATACAGGGATTTAATAGTTAAAAAAGTAAGAGGGTGATCCACTCTATAGGTAATTCAACTTTGTTCGAATTTAAATAAAATCATTTTTAGGGGGTGTGCAGATGCCAACGAAACACTCCACTGTGATGTCTCAAAGCACTTCATTAATTGTATGTCTTAGACATACAATTAATGAAGTGCTCTGAGTGAATCAGACTGATTCACTTCCAATGGAGACCACTTATGTGCTGTGCTGCACAGCTTGTGCCACTTTTTTATGATAAATTGAGTAGTAGTAAAATTTTAGGACCGAAGTTTGTGACCAGTGCTTATCTTATAAAAATGTGGTTGTAATATTAGATTAAATCTGGTTGAATTTCCTACTGCGTGGTTTAAAGATTTTGGTTCTTCAGCATAATCTGAATGTTTGTTATGGTTTTGTCACTAGGCAACTAACATGACCCATTGTTCCCATGGCAACTATTATACATTTAAGTTACTATGACAACAAAAACAAATTTAATCTAATTTTGAGATTATCATACAATCCATATCCCATTATTATTAATTAAAAAAAAAAGAACAAAATATCTATGTATCTATCTTGAGATTTTAATTTTTACAGTTGGTATTATAGTAAACCAAAGCAAGAGACGGTTTTGTGCGTATTCTAAAAATAAAGTGAAATTATAAAGTTTTTAAGGTATTTACCTGACAAATTTAACATCTCAAATGTTTTTTAATATCATAAACACTAGGTCACATCACGATATGGTTTTTAAGTGCACAACTTTAAGAAAAATCAAAATACAAACATTGACTTGACATTACAAACATTGTGGAATTAAAGTTTCCAGATTTACGTGGGAAGTTTAAAAATGGAAGATCTTTCAAGCTTTGAGGAATTTTATGCTTTAAAAAAGTTATGCCATGAAGTTGCAAATGATTGCAATAATGAAGATTATATTAATTCTATTAAAAATATTATTGCAAAATCCTCGAACACTTTTATAAATGTTACCCATGCTCATATATTATCAGCATTATATCCTATTTTAAAAAAGGTTTCTGAAGATAAGAAAATGTAATTTGGTTACTAGGTATTATAATTTATTTAAAAAGTATATAATATTTAATTTTAGGTTTTCCAATGAACACAAACAGAATATCATCGAAACTCTCAATGAACTATTTAAAAAATTTAAATTAGACAAAAAAGGTGTATTTTTTAATATCTATGCCTTTTTATTATCTGAAATCTATGATCATGAAAAACACATTGGTAAGACATCTACTCTAGAGAGCTGCTGTGCTAAGCTAAACCCCTGTATCTTCAATATTAAGGTTAAAAGGACAAAAGATACTTTTTATTGTTTTTAACAATGAAAATGATCGTTTGTCCTTTATTACTTAATATTGTACATACAGGGCTTAGCAGGGCAGTACTATTAATATATATTTATCTACATGTCATTTATTACCTATGCTTTGATTTTATAGTTTTAAATATAAGTGAAGAATATAAATTAAGTATATTGGATTGTATGACTTCATTGGCAAAATGTTTATCTTCCGAAGTCATTTTCGATATTTATACAAAAGAAAATGCTCCTAAATTTTGCCAGATGCTCTATGTTGCTCTGGAAATTGCAAAAAAAGAACAAATGAGGAGTCTTAGGTTTGCTATAAATTAAACTATGCTCAAATAAATATTTATTAATTTTTTAAGGATTGCAGCAGTGGAATGCATTTTGGCTATTGCTCAAGTTCTGGATGACAAGGATTTCAATGATGTAGTTATTAAAAATCAGGTCTCAGAAGTGTTTCTGTATTTTATACCAGGGATTGCTTCTGGGTTAAAAGATATTGCCTTATTAGATGAAAAAGTTGGGCATAAAATACCTGTGGTAAATATTTAAAAATAAAATAAAGTAAAAATCCTCCAGTCAAATAATTGAGGTTATGTATTAACGCTAAATTTGCACAATCCACATATGTTTAACAAAAAAATACAAATATTGTATATTTTCAGAAAATACGACAAAATCAAAGTTAAATTAGGCTTAACAACAGCTACATAACCTCAATTATTTGACTGCACTCCTAATGTCAAAGTCTAATATCCCGGACAACAATCGGGATTTCCTGGTGAAGTCATGATGATATCACAACGTGATTTTTTTTAAAATGTCTTAAAACTTAAAATGCTTATTTTTTAAATTTAAACAAACTATTTTACAGATAGCCCTTAAAGCATGGGGCAGGTTAGTGTCCATTCTAATGGCCCATTATGGGGCACCTGATGAACCATTTAATATGAAAAATCTTAAAAATATTTTAAATAAGGAAGATCTTAAGTATAATAATAAAAGCAGGCATTTGGAAAGTTCTAACGATGTAGAGGAATATTTGAATTCTCAAAAAAGAAATTCTCAGTGGTATAAAACAGCAGATAGTAAAATGAAAATAATGGTGTTGGGATTCTGTAAATTAGTTTATCATTCACATTATAAAGTAAGATTGGAGTTGGTGGAAATGAGTGGGCTATTAATAGAAGATTGTTATAGGTAAATAGCAAATGTAGCAAGTGTTTTTTTAATAATGTAATATTACATATTTACAAGTTTTTAGATTTTTTCAATTTCTACTTATAGTGTATTATTTTAGAAATATACCCTCAACAATAGGCAATTTAATTGAAATTGTTATATCACTATCAGAAGACGAAAATGATGAAGTAAAAAATGCAAGCAAGAACATTTTGAGTAACTTATCCAATAAGTTTTCTGAAAGTCAATTTAAAACACTTCTAGAGAATTTAGAGGAAGGATTTTTTAATTCAATTAATAGTTTACCAAGAAAATTTAATGGAATTGGTGAGAAATACTCTTATGCATGGTATTTTTTACCTTTTTTAATAAAGAATTTTTTGTTTGCCATGGAGGCCAACAATTTTTCTCCAAAAATGACCATTATCCTTTGTTTTTGAGATATTGTGAAAAACGTTTTTTTCAATAGGCAAATGTTCAAATATATTCATATATTTTTAATCAAATACACATGTATTAAAAATATATTAGTACTAATCAAGAATCATTGGTCATGTAGATCAATTTAACTAAAAAAAAAATAATTATACACGTTTATAAAAAAGTTCTTCAAAAACCGTTTTAATGAAATCGTTTTTTGTCAAAATTTACAAAATTGTGTAACTTTTAAAATTATTATTTTTTTATTTATTTATTAAACCCAAAAAACATAAATGTTTATAACAGGTAAATGGGGCATTCCACGCCAAATCGGATGGTTTCAAAAGTAATTTTTTTTGATTCCTCCAATTTTTTTTATATTTTTTAGTACTTCTTAAAAGAGCTTTCTCAGTAAATATTGAGATTTTTTTGATCACGGGTTCAAAAGATACAAAATCTTCAAAAAAACTGCTTTTTTTTGTTTTTCGCTCATAAAAAAATGGACCAAATCAAAAAGTTCATTGTATATAAAATTTTCGTTTTTAAATGTTTTAAAGTTTTTAAAAATGTGTGTCTTCTTCGATTTTTGCGAAAAATTTTTATTTTCAACTTCTATCTATTCAACAACTATTTAGCCTGATCCGGTCCCATGCCGCAAAATCACAGTCCCTGCACATGTCAGGAATATTCCCAGGAATATTCCAAGCGTCCCAGAATATTCCCAGGAATATTCCTGGCATAATCAAATGTCCGCTTTTTGGTTAACCCAGGCATCATAAAAAGAATATTACATATATCTGCCTGCAGAAGACTCAAGGATTGTTAGGGGAATATTCCTTGATATAATTTGGGGATTATTCCCAACCCTTATTGCCTCTTATACCCAGGAACTTTCTACTCCCACCTTTAAAACATGTTTCCATGACACTAAGTGACGTTTTAGATACACATTGACAAGTTGTGGCTTTATGGCGCTTTAGTCACGGGCTGAAGTTAACAATAGGATTTTAGTCACGGGCTGAAGTTAGTTTTAAGTTAGTTGACAGTTGTCAAATGTCATACAATCATTAAAATAAAGTGCCTTTCTTGTAAAATAATACTAAATAGAAAAATTATTTTATTATCTCAATACAAAAATACAAAAGTATTAAATAGTTTCTCAACGCCAATATTTGAAAAGTTTATATGAACATTGTACTGACCTTTTAATTTTGCCGGCTGTAAACTTTAACTTAAATTCGGGCACGGACTCCACTGCTCATAAAACATTTTCTTTACTTTCACTGTGAAAAACTGTCAATTTTCAAGAAAAACATTTCGATTTATTACCTTTATAATCTGTTTATAAAATAAAAAAATTTGACATTTGACGGTGACACACAGATTCCCCTATTGTTTTATAGATGGCGCTCTATACAAATTTTTGAATTAAATCATTTTCAGATAATAATAAGTATTTGTCGTAGAAAAAGTATAGTATGCACCTCGTTTATAAACTTTTCTATACACTCATTAACTTAAGCGCTCGCTCGTGCATAAATTAAATTCGTGTATAAAATGGCGTTTATAAAACTTGATACATAATATACTATTTTTTTGTTAAAAATAGGGTTTTTCTAAGGGACCAACTTTATAAATGTGTATAAGAAATTACCCTAGAAAAATTTATAGTCACCCTGAGGCAAAATTAAATTAATGTTTAACCAAACGTATTTTTTAGATGAAAGGGAACAACTATCGGCGCTAAATTTAATTATAGGATACATTAATCTTTTTGGAAAATACAAATTAAATGTTGTTTTAATGTCTAGTGTTCATTTAAATAAATTAATGACAACATTAATTCATATATCTGAGTTGGAGAAGACGAATATTAGTCTTTTGGAAGAATATACTGTGAATGGTAAATGCATTTACTATATACCTATTTAACTACTTTTTAAAACTAAAGAACATTTTTTTAAGAATTGGACATAAGTCCCGACCTAAAAACACCTTGGAAAGTATTTAGAAAATTCAAGGAAGATTCTATAAAAAACAAAATAGAAGAATTATGTTCTCTATTAGCTCAATATGGTTCTTTGAATGTTATAAGTGATTTTTTGTTGGATAATTTTTTAACTAACCCAGAGGAAAGAAAAGAAACCATATTTTTGCTAAATGGTTTACTAATGGGTGCTAAAAATAGTAAAGATCATAATAATGTTATAAAAAACATTATTAACATGTACACCAACAAAAAATATTGGTATATTCCAGTACAAATAAAAAATGATGAATATGGTTTTGAATATACTTTAGCTGAAATTCAAGATAATGTTATTTTGGTTTGTTTAATGACGGAAGGAATAGGAAAAATAGCATTAGTCATTGAGGAAAATTTTAACAAATTCATGCTTGGAACATTATATCTTGTGTTTGAAAGAGCAGGTAAAATATTTTCTTTAGTAAAAATATTTTGTTAGATAAAAATAAATTAAATTTATTTAGGTAGTGGGAACCCCCTAATTAAAACCTCAGGTTTATCAGCATTAAAAAACATCTCCCTGGCATGCAAATACAAAAATATAACAGATTTGGTAATAAAAAATATTGACTATTTCAGTTTTTATGTTGAAAGAAACTTAAACAAAATTGAACAAAATCAAGATGTTTTAAATGTTCTTACTGTAATATTAAAATACAGTAAAATCGAAGTGTTATCATACATTTCAGAAATAATAAAAGAGGTAAATAAGCTTATCTAAAATATTTTCGAAAAATATTTTTTTACCCTTGTTTACATAGGTATTAATGCAGTCCTGTGATACATTTAAAGAAAAATATTCCACTGGGTATCTAAGGATATTTCACATTTTTATACAGTCAATAATTGTTTGGTTTGATGTGCAACCAAAAATTTTGCCTATTAAATCGAAAAAACAAAAAGAAAGGGAAGAACAGGACTTTTATGTATCAGGAATTACCAAGGAAGACTTTTCAGATGAAATAATGAATAAAAGTGCTGAAGAAATGTATAGGGAAGACATGGAGAAGAAAAAAATAGAGAATGAGGAATTGGAAGGTAATGTTGATAATGGTAAAAAAATATCCATACTAAAATAAATTTTAGATGAAGTGTACAAAAAACCCGACCCCCCTTTACATATAAAACTTACAGTACAAATATTAGGAAGAAGTTTGCACTTTCTTCCTTCAAAAGACTCCTCGAGAAAACTATTGGTCTTACAAATATTAAATAATGGTTTGGAAATCATTAGGGATTGGGATGATGAGTTGCTACCAATTGTTCATCAAATATGGTCACCTTTGGTTAGGAGATTTAAGGAGTTTGATAATTCTTTAATAATAAATTATAGTTTTACATTACTGGTAACTTTGGCCAGACTATCCAAGGAATTTATTAGGATGAGAGCCCAAAAGTAAGTTAAATAACACTGAAAAAATAACTTAATTTTAACTTGTATATTTTCAGTGATGTTCTTCCATCCCTCATGGAAATTTTAAATAAATTATCTATTGAAAGTCATTTAAAAGATAAAGGATCTGCATATCGATACACCCAAGCTTACAAATTACAATTAAACATTATTCACGGATTAGGTAGCTTATTAATAGATTTAGATGCTACAGATATACATTTTAATGTAGCCATAACAACAATAATAATTTATTTAAGTGATAAACAACCAGTGCCACTTCAGGTAGGCAACACAAAAAATGGTAACTTACAGTATTTAACATATTTTCTTTCAGGAAGTTACAGTGAATTTTTTTGAACTTTTATGGAAATATAATCCCGATTTAATAAACAAAAATGTGAATAAATGGCTTAATAATACAGAGTACACTAATTGTACAAAAAATTTAAATATAATATGTAAGAAATGTAAATAAAAAAATAACACCTGTTATAATTTACTATTTATTTTATTTATTAATTATTGTTATTGCTGCAAAAATATATTTTTAATAAAAAAAATTAATTTAAAGTTAAACAATTTTCCCAATAAATAAACAAGTATTTACAATTTTATTGGTTGTACACTTTGTACTTCTTAAACATGAAAATAAATAAAACACAATATATAAATAATTAAATTTAATTGTATTATCATATACAAAAAATAATTGCACACCTTGAAAATTAAAACAAATATGTACACGTGAATATTGTATATATAGATAAAATTAAGTTAAAAGAAAAAACATTTTAAAAAACTAAAATAAATATTACAGTCTTCATTTAAAAATAGTACGTATTGAATTGAATAATCAATATTTAATACCATTTTATTATAAAATAAAAGTTTTATACCGTATTTTCATTACCGTACGTGCACAGCAGCATTCGGTTGTGCCGAAGACACTTTTAAATAAAAATGATTGAGTTATTTAAAATGTTCGGATGCACTAGGTCTGTATAGTTTTACCTTGAAAATACAGTATATAAATTTAAAGATAATTATTAATTTAAAAATAATTACAGAATTTAATATTACATTTTAATTTAAGTCCTTATTATTATAAAATTTATTTTAACTCGAAAATAAAAATGTTTTAAAACAAAAAGTTTAATATAAACTCATTTTTGTTATTGTAATTTAAATTGTTGTTTCCCTTTGAAACAATCACAGCTTCCAAGTGAGCCTTGACAATATCATTTAGATTTAAATTAGATAACAGTACCTTTATTTATTTTAATGACGTTTGTTTTAAATGTATAAAGTGGTTATTTCACTACTTGCCTTAAAAGCAATGGTTATTAAAAATTACTATTATACGGTTTTAATTATATTATGGCCCATTATTGCTATTCATTATCTAGGCATATAATATACCAATTTAGGTACAGTCATGGTGAATAAACAGGGTTGGAAATAGCCCACTTTCATTGGCGCCCATATCAATTTTCTAGGGGGGCAATTATTAAACGGCTGGCAAAATAAAATATTTCATTTGCATAGTGGCAAAAACTTTTTTGGATAATTTGCGTTAGCTGATTACAAAAATGAACTTTTTGCTCAATCAGCTCTTATTTTTGCGATATTGTGAGAGAACAAAAATTCGTAAATATTGTTTTTAGTCAAATACTTTAACCAAGAATCATTGGTAATGTAGCCAAGATTTTTGAGGGGAAAACTTTATAAATGTGTATATTTTAATTTTATCATTTAATTGGGACCCATATCTACATTACAAATAATACTTGGGTTAAAGTATTTTATAAAAAAAGCAAATATGAATATCAAAAAAATGTTTTTTAATTTATATTGGAAACAATAGCCAATTGAGCAAAATGAGAGCCATTTTTAAAATCAGTTCACTGAAATTACCCTAGAAAATTTTATCCTGCAACAAAATGGCTGTTGACCAGTGTAATAGTTGTCAAAAAAATACACTGGTTTTAAAATTAATTAAAACGTTGCCCATCGGTATGGGCGCCCATGCCCACTGCATAAGAGTTTTAGAGTCAAACTTATAAAAGTGTCTTGATAACATTTTCGTGTCAAGCTTACTAAAATATTATTTAGTAATAAAGACATTTTTGCTTGGCACGAAAATATCATTTAAATGATATAAATAACACCCGCTAGGCTGTTCAGTTATGCCCATGTCTGTACTAATTAAGTAATAAAATAATTAATATTAAAATTACATTTAGTAGGAAGCCACTGACTACAATTGTCGATTTGATTGTAAATTACCCAGCCAGCATTCGATGACAGTTATGAGCGGTGAGCAGTTTGCGCCATCCGTAGGCTTCCCGTACGCTATTTGGCATTACATACAGGGTGAGTCGGGAGGAAAGTTAAAAATTTCAAGGGTTTATTATACGCATAAAAACAATGAGAAAAAACCCGAATGTTATACGAATTTTTATTATTTTCGAGATACATGGTTTTGAACAAAATTACCATAAGATAATTTACAAAATATTCTAATTATTGTTTTATTATAATATCGAGCAAAACTTTGACAGGTGTCAAATATGACGAGGAAAACATCAAAAATCTACGTTGACAGCTGGGATCACATTTCCCAAATTCTCTTTAATTTTCTCATGAAGTTTTTATCCAATTTTGTCATATTCAAGATTTGATTTAAAGTGCATAGAAGTTTAAACGGAAATAAAAATAAATTTTCAAAATTTTTGACTGGCTTTTATTGATTTAAAAAAAAATTATGAAAATTTTATCAAAAAATTAAAGATTTCATATCTGTCAACTTGACATTTGTCAAAATGTTGGTTGATGTTATAAGAAAACAGTAATTAGAATATTGTGTGAATTATTGTATTGGATTTTTTTTTAAACCTTGTATCTCAAAAGCAATAAAAAATCGTATGACAACATGTTATGTTTTTTTATTGTTTTTATGCAGAGAATACACACCCAAAAATTTTCACTTTTCTTTCGACTCACGCCGTATAAAAGGGTGGAAAGATATTACATGTAATTTCAAAGTTTTTAATTCTGCGTTTAAGAAAAAGTTGTGAAATAGGAAAGTAAACTTTTTTGCAAAATATTTTTTTTGATATCTTATGTTTGAACTGCCACAACGACTTTAAAATTTAAAAGTAATTAAAAATAATTAAAAATAAAATAAAAAAATAAATATTTATTAAGATTTTTGTGTTTGACGTAATACGTCATACTATGACAGTTGACATTTGGCTTCACTGTTCATATAAATTATAATATTGGGACTGCGTCAATTAAAATCACGCAAAATTTTGCCCTCTTTTGGTTCAAAACAGGATTATAAATTAAAGTAAATTTGTGTCATTCTTTTTATAAATAATTATCATTCAAAACTTTTTTTAATCCAATTTTCTTCCAGATAATTTTTTTCGTATTTATAACGGTACTAATTTACATTAAGAACTTTCAAGGCCTTGTGGCAGTTTAAGAAATTAAAATTAAAAAAAACTCATAAAAAATGTTCTGGCCTTATAAATGCCCAACACAATTTGATAATTAAAAAATAGTAAAATCGGCCCACCCTACAGTATAATGCCTTGTGGTCAAGAGTTACTCCTACTTTATTTAGTCTTCTTGGACTGGACAATGTATAAATAAAATGAATCGATAAAATAATTAGTATATCCTTTAAAATAATAATAATATTAATAATAATCAAAGGTACCATTAACAATTAAAAATTTAAAACTGATAAATAAAAAGGCGAATTGCAAGGTTTGTGTGGTCCATTCAAAAAAATTTAAAATAAATAAATATTTAAAATATTAAAAAAAAATCAATAAAATTTGTATAAGTAATGTAAATTTAAAATCAGTGCAATAAAGTCAATAAAATATGTGTAAAATAAAAAGTAGTTTTCTTGAATGGAGCCTGATTTGTCCCAATGAATAAAAAAGAAAACCTAATTTTCTGTATTGACCGGTTCCCTGGCATGATGTATTTGTACATGTTTATTATGATTCGATTTGGTGGTGGAAGTTTTCCCGCAGATGTGACAAGAATAGGGCCGCACGCCGCTGTGCACCCGCATGTGGTCCTTCAGATAGTACGACCGATGGAAAGACTTACCGCAAATCTGACAGTTGAACGTTTTGCCCGTTTCGTGCTCTTTCACGTGCCTCTGGCAATTGTACTTTCTGATGAACTGAGCGCCGCAAAAGTTGCACGTGTACGGCCTGATGCTTTTGTGCGAGTTCATGTGCGATATGTAGTCGGACTCTCTGATGAACGCGCCCCTGCACTGGTCGCATTTGAAGGGCTTCGAGGTTCTCGACGCGTGCGTCCACTTGTGGAGCTTCAGGTTCCACTTGGTGGTGAAGTCCTTGTTGCAGATCAAACACTGGTACGGCCTCGCGCCGCTGTGGTTGCGAATGTGGACCTCCAAAGACGATCTCAAGTACACCCCTTTGCATATCGGGCACTCTACGTTCTCGGACGATCTGTCCGTGTTCGGTAGGAACTTCTCGTTGTGGGCTCTGCGCATGTGCCTGGTCAAACTGGACATGTGCACGAACTTCTCGCTGCACTTCGTGCAAGCCTTCGGTTTGGCATCGTGGATCTCCTTGTGCCAGGCCAACTTTTTCTTGGAGTGGAAAATCTCGCCGCACTGGCAAATGTAGTCCTTCACTTTCTTCAAATTGAAATGGTGCCTGTTGCGATGCTGGATCAAGTTCGAATGGCGCCTGAATGTCTCGTTGCAAAGGCTGCATTTGATCGGAGCGTCTCCGGTATGCGTGTTTTTGTGTTCGTCGTGCTTTTGCTTGGTCACAAACGATTTATTGCAGAGCTCGCATTTGAACGGCTTCAGACCCAGATGTCTTTTCATGTGAAGTTGGAAGTTTTGTTTTCTATAGAACAACTTTCCACAAATTCTGCACTCCAGAGGGTGTATTTTGAGATGTTCAGTGTATTTGAATTCATTTGGAAAAGCCTCATTGCAAGTGGTGCACCTGTGGCGTAGGTCGTTGGTAATGTTATGTATTTCCTGCTTGTGCACTTTTAACGCTTTGGCGTTTTCCAGGACACAGTCGCAAATTGCACACAATACTTTAAAATCCGTTTGAACATCTACTTTAACAGGCAAATTTGGTTCAGACACTGTTGATATTTCATTTTGTTCCACAATGGTTTGAGTTTCAAGCTTTAATTTGTTGGTGAAAACAAAGTTGTTCTCTGCGTCAGGAACCTCGGTTTTAGGTTTTACAATCAATTTCTTAACTTTGGTTTTTCCAATTTCAGCTCCTATTAAATTCACTTTTCTCTTGGACTGGTGCTTCTCCATTTCATGGTCGGTCATCTCCTTTGAGGTCAAAAAGTTTTCACTGCACGTGGAACATTTAAAATTGATTGGGGGTTCACTAAAATTAATTATTGCGGGAGCTTCACTTTCCATTTCTCGTCGATACGGTGCCGCGTTTCTGCTTTGCATGGACGAAATCTCCACATCTGAACTGTCTGAAGCTTCCCAAGTATCTCTTGCAATCAGATCGTAGGCGTTTGTGGACAACCCTGACGGCCCCTCATGGTATTGAATGCGATTCCAGCCGATATCGCTGGCTTCTCCTATGCTTTCCTGTCCGGACAGTTCTCCTCTGGGCGGCATACATTCATCCGCCTTTATATTTACATTTGAGCTTTCCCTAGAGACGCTTTCCTCAAAATCCCTGTTCTCGTTGTAACTTTGTTTAGTCACCATGTCACCAATGGTCATTAAATCCGATGATCTATCAGGCCTCATATCTGTACTGTCCACCTGAGAAATAATCGGGGCAGTTGTAAAATCATTGATGATTACTTGCATACCGTCCATGTCCATAAAATCACTTGACTGCAATATGTTGCTAGTAGTATAAATAGAATGATTTTGGGAATATGTAGGTTCTGAATAGGATGTATTAGGGACGTTGTCGTCCAAATAATAAAACTCGGGAGTTACTTCCTGCTCATATTCGCACTCTTCAATTGCAATTGCAACTTCATCTGTTAAAACTCCAACTGAAGTTTGTGTTTGGCATGCCTTATTTAACTCTTCCTGTTGATATTCCACATCATTATTGGATTTGGGAGACCCTATGCACTCTTCATGATCGATGCTTTGATCACATTGCAACTCTTCGTTTGTATATTGAATTACCTGCTCTTCCTCTCCCTCCTCATCATCAATTGTTTCAGAAGGTTTGAGAGTGGTCACTGTCATTTCTGCCCCAAGTCTTATTTCAGTTATCTCAATATCTTCGCTCAACAAAGTATCAGTTTTAACTTCATTCAGTTTGGTCTGTTTTTCCACTACTACTTCATCGTTTGGCTCTTCCGTTATAACAGCACAATCAGTTGGTGAGGGTAATTCAAAGGGAAGAGCTCTTAATGGAGGGACACATGCATTACTAGACATAATGACTTGTTGTTGTTGATACAAATAGGGCATCATTTGGGGGTTAAATACAGTAGGAATGACATATTGCTGGGCTAGTGGATTAACGTTGAGAACATTGCCTTGAGGCGCCGTTGTGCTCATACTTTGCTGATAGATGAACACATGGTTTCCCTGCATTGCGGCAAGGTTTGGTGGAAGTGGGCCACTACTGTGATTCCAGGATTGATTAACTATGGCTGTATTTACTTGAGAACTACTACAGGGAGTGTTAGCATCTGTAATTTGTGGCGGACCATTTTCTATTTTGGGGTCCAGGGATGTTGAGGAAATTTTCACCAAAGCCTCAATTACTTTGTGTTTGGGATGGCTGGCCAAGTGAGACTTCAGTGTAATTCCAGGCCTCAAATACAGAGTACAAACAGGACAAACAGTGTTGTTGGGATCCATTTTGATTTTCTATTGATATTTACTTAGGCAGATGGAAATGGAGAAGCCAACTGGAGCTGTACACTCCTAGAGTGAGTTTATTGATCTGTTAAGTAAAATCAATGATGAGAATAAAAGAATACCTAATTATTCATTGACTCGCAACCAAATACATCGTTTATCGCCCTTAAACCAGTTTTAACTTGAAAATATTCACAAATTATACTTTAATTGATACCTATCTGAGGGTTTAACAATAACAATGGATTTGGTTTTTTAAAAGCCTTATTGTGGCCTTTATACAAAGATTTTTACGTATTACTTACTTAAAATGTAGTTAAAACATTGTTTTATAATGATTTCTAGACACACACCATACTTTAAAATAATAAAATTGTTAAAATTAATGAACTTGCTCCGAATATTTAACAATCGGAGTAGTCAGTTTAGGGACATTCAATTTTTTAAGTATGTAACCAAAACCCAGAAAATCAATAGTGTCTAAAGAAACAACTGAAAAATTATAATACAAGTTTTTATTATAAGAACACAAAATAAATATATAAATTTAAAAATAGTATTATTAGGGGCATAATTATAAGTGTAACATTTTAATTAATTGCAAATTACCCCCAGTTAAGAACAATTTTAAATTATTGTTTTTAAACGGCACCCTAGGCACCTAAATGTCAAATTTTAATTGACATCCCTGACACGTAAATTTAATAAAAGTTGTAATTTCTAAAATAATTAACTGTAAAACCTTAATATGTTTAATTTAAAAGGTATAACTGTTAAAATGTTTAGTGGTTAGCCCTAACTTAATTTTTATTTTTTTAAGATGATATAGAATCCCTACGTTTGTGGCGTGAAAATATTGATAGAAAAAGTAGAGAAATAATTAAACTTTGGCAAAGTACAATAGAAGACAATTTGGAGAATTTAGGAAACGAAAGTATGTACTATAAATTTAACAAAGCAACAAATATAACATACCACTCCAAAATTTTACAATATTTGAATTTGGCGTATAGGTAGGTGTGTGTCCCTAAAATGGAGCACTAATGGTATAATGCTAAAAGTTAGAATGTTCAATATTAAAGAACAAAGATCATATTATTTTTTTTAAGAATATTTATTAATATAAAAGGACCATTTTCAAATGTTTTAAAAATAAAAAGTTTAAATTTGTTAATATCATACAGGTTACGATGATAATCAGGCAAATTCTCTAACATAAGTCATTAACATTAATCACTAGAATCAGTGGTTATCAGCCAATGAGGCCAATTAAATATAAGGATAACCACTAATTATAGTGGCTAACGTAAACGACTCATGTTAGTAAATTGGCCTAAATGTTAGTGTTTTATGACAAAAATGGTCAGAAAATGGATTTGTCAACCATGTTAACTTAAAATACCTGCTTGTTGCCTTGTTTATTTTGCTTCAGTAAAAACCTTTATAATCTGTGGTAAGAACCCTTCTTAGATGTGTGATATTTAGGAGTTTGAGAAATTCCAAGTTAATAAAACTTATAACTCAAAAACTACATGTCAAAAAAAAATAATATTTTTTTATAACATTTATTGTGTGGTTTTGCATTATTGCACCATTTTTAAGCCACTCAGTATACCATTGTTATTAAAGGTAGTATTTCCATTTTAAGAGTTGTATTTTAATTTAATTTAACACATGACTGCTTTATTATAACTTAAAGTAGGTATCATTAAAAACTAAAAACAACATAAAATAGTTATTTATGTATTAAGGGCATAATAAGGTTTTTATGGTTCGAGGCGCTATTTCGAGCCCGAGCGCGTTAGCGCGAGGGCTAGAAAAGCGTCGTAGGACCATAAAAACCAGTTATGCCAGCAATGCATACAAAACTTTATGCACGATTAATATATTATTATTTTTAATATATTATTGTTTTTAAAGACGTTTACGTCAAAGAATTTTTGTTATAATTGTCATATTATAATGTCAACTGATATCATTCAGTTTTAAAGTTTAAAGATGAATGAAATTGAGGAAGCAGCTGAAAAGGCGAAAAATTGCGGCCTGCTGCCGGAAAAATCAAAATCTTTATACGAAAAAACTTACTTCGAATATATCAAATGGTGTAACATTGTTGTTTTTAATTTTTGACGTTTCATTATAGCCCGCTGGGTCATAATAACGCCCGCGGGCTATAAAAAGACGTTTACGTCAAAGAATTTTTGTTATAATTGTCATATTATAATGTCATCGTGCATAAAGTAAATTAGTAGGTAACTATGTAAATTGTTATATAACAATTATAATATTTTGTCATAAGGTTTAAAACTCATTTTTTGTGTTTCTTAAGTTATGAAATTCAAAATGACGATTTTAAAAAGTGCTAAAAATTGTATTTTGAGCCATCAATATGATTTAAAAACGAATTTTTGAAAGAATTATGAAAAATAACACCTGTGCATGCACAAGTGCAGATGTGTTATTTCCCACAGATTTCCCATAGATTATTTTAAACATTCGTTTTTAAACTCAAGAAACAAAATGGGATCATGTTAAAAGCTTAAAAATTGATTATTAGTTTATTTTTTATGTAAATCTCATGAGGAAGCTTTCAAAATACAAAATGTGGCATATGAAAAGAAATGTAAATTTAAAAATTATTTTCTTGGAATCTGTGCTGTAAAAAAATCTGAAATTATTTGTGAATACCTCACAAAATCATATATTAAATTAAATAAAGACATTCCATGAAATCTCTTCTAGCCCATTTTTTTTACTATTGGGTATTTCCGCGAAACCTTACCCCACCTTGACAAAAATCAGATGTGTTGTTTAACGAAATAAAAACTATATCTGAAGTCAAATATAAGTTTAATATTATTGCGACGTAATTTATAACCTTAAAATATTTGTACATTGTGATGCTAAGAAGCTAACATTAAGAATAAAAATGGAAGAGTTTCAATACTCGATAAAATGTTCAAATATTTTATAACATTATGAGACAATTTTAGAAAATAAAGAATACAACATTTGTGCATTTAAAAAACGTGATGTCGCGCCCGTTACGCGATTCATGACGTTATAAAAGGTTTTCTTTACAAGTTTTTATTGACATTTTGTTTGAGTTAAATACCTAATTTTTTATATTAAACTGCGCACCACTCAATGTGTCGCGACCAAAAAGTTCGTTCTTTTTTAAAACGACCTAACTTTTTTGTTTCCTGAACTATTTTATTTTGGTCTGTGTTGTCTGCTAGCCTCATCCTCTGGCAATTCATGCTATAGATATGAAGCGCGCAGTAAATTTCCTACAGGGTGATATGGTAAACCGTGAAAAATTTCAATAACTTTATCCAAGCCCCGTTTGTAAAAAAATAATTTTTTTCTCGTTTTTACTTTGAAATAATGAAGTATTATGTCTTACCTTGAAACATTTTTCGAATTGGAATCTTAGCAACGAAAATATGATTTTTTTTCCAAGAGTACGTTTAAGGCTTTTTTGTAGGCCTTTTTAGAAACAAGAAGATAAGATGATGAAAGAATGTTCCTTAAATAAACAAGCGACAAGCAACAAAGCGACAAGCAACAAACTTCCATTATTTTCAGAGGGCCTAAGCAAACACCACTTTTTCAAAATAACATTTTGGTAAAAATTTGAGAAAACTAAACCTAAACCGATATTTACGTTCGTGACATGTTTTCTTCATAATGTTGACCTCCTGATTGTGATTCAGTTGTCAAATTTAAGTTTCAGATAAAACCAAAATCACCAAGAATCAAGATTCGAAAACAATTCCCGGCTGTTAAATGTCTCAATAAAATTCGATTGCTGGTTTTTACTATTTTTTTTACTGTGTTTTGCATCTTTAGTACATTATCATGTCGCTGAATGATCAAATCGAGGATTCAAAGTTATACCTACCTACCTACATACCTACCCCTATCTTACTCAGGTTACTTTCATTCTTTCTTTAAATGATTAAAATACCAATGCCAGATTTTGCTGCAGCTACGGGAATTAACATCTCCAAAATCAACGGTTCGCATAAGATTGCACGAAACGGGAGGCAAAGGTGGCTTTTGGAGGTGGAGGAGTGATTGTTTGGGGTGGAATGGCGATGAATGGAAAGAGTGAATGCTGAGAGATATAGAGATTTGGTTGTTAGTGATATCGTGGTCCCTTATGCTCAAAATGTTGCCAATATTTGGTGTTGGTGGACGACAATGCCCGTCCGCACCGCGCCAATATCGTAAATGAGTATTTAAGGGACCATCATATTGAGAGAATTAATTGTCCACCTTTGTCTCCGGATATGAATCCTATTGCGCATGTGTGGAGCAGGATGAAACTGAAGATTAAAGAGAGGACAGGACGCATGGAAAATTTAGATTAATTGGTAAATGTGATACCCCAGGAATTTATAAGGAACTTGGTCGAGGCCCAGGAGGGTTAACGAAATATTACGGGTAAGGGGAGGGCCAACGAAATATTGAAAGTTATTATTGTTATTGTTTGTTACATTTTTCTGTTGAATGTTGTAGTTTTGATTATGATTATATCTTCACATAAAATTCTTCAAAATGAACAAAAATATTTTTATTTAACTTTATTACCAATTAGTTGGGTACTTATCAGTGATAAGTTATCACTAGTGCGCAATTTAAATGTAAGTTATGTAACATTATCCTAACCACTCAAACAAATTGCAGTAGTTTCTCCCAAAAAATGAATCCCCAAATGGCATTTTGGGCCCCTCTGAAAATAATGGAAGTTTGTTGCTTGTTGCTTGTTCAGAATTATTCACCATTTTATGTTCTTGTTTTTAAAAAGACTGAGTGTATTGCCTACCAAAAACCCTTAAATGTACTCTTTTGGAAAAAAATCATATTTTCGTTGCTAAGATTCTACTTCGAAAAATTTGAAAACCTGTTCATATAAATACATTCATAATACCTACTTCATTATTTCAAAGTAAAAACGATAAAAAACTTCTTTTTTCAAACGGGGCTTGGATGAAGTTATTGAAATTTTTCACCGTTTTACATATCACCCTGTACGAAATTTACTTGAAGAACGGTGAGCTTCATATCTTTAGCATGAATTGCCAGAGGATGGGGCTAGCAGACATCAAAGGCCAAAATAAAATCGTTTAAGAAACAAAAAAGTTATGTCGTTTTGAAAAAGGACGAACTTTTTGGTCGCGACACATTGAGTGGTGCGCAGTTTATTTTTGTATATTCACGTATGTATATGAACAAACACTTTATAGCACCTCTTACAATGGAAATACCATATTACTAAAACCATTGATTTAGGAAAACAACATTTCCTGGTTAATATACAGGGTAAATGAAGATTATGACCAATTCAATAATTTCGGGGTGGTACATTATTTTTATTAAGCGTTATGATATAATAACTTTTTTAGAATTTGTTGTGCTTGAACAAGCCTGTGTGGCAGCCCTTGATACCTATGAATTAAATGTGGCTAAAAGATGTATTCAATTATTGAATTCAGCTTTTCCAAACAGCATAAGGGTGAGAACTCTTGAAGCTATGTGGTTTGAGGTAGATGAGAAGTATGAAGAGGCCATGCACATTCTTGAAAATATTATTAAGCAAGATTCAACCAATAGTGCTGCTAGAAAAAGAAAAATCGCAATATTAAAAGCCCAGGGAAAATCTATTGAAGCTATTAAAGAACTTACTGATTATCTTAAAATGTAAGTAATTTATGAGTAAACAAATAACTTTTACCGTTATAGGAAAATTTAAACAAAAACATTATAATTACACTTGTAATTATATACAATTATTTTATTATTAGGTTTTTTATTTTTTTTTGTCACATAAGAGATCAATTCATTTTATTTATTATCTTTATCAGTTTAGATTAGCTCTGTTTTTTTCATGAACTTCACCTTACTTCGTGAGTTTTTGTGTGATCAAATGATCGCAGAGCGAGATCTGAAAGCAAAAGCTTAATTGCGCATGCGTGAAATGTGCGCGCCCAGACATAATTGAGGTTAAAATTATTATACAGTTTGACCCGTTTATTTATTGTGCGATTTTAACCGGATTTGTTTTAAAGTGTAGATCTTGATAAACTGTATTTTGGGAGCAAAGAAAAACATATTTTTTCAAATTAAAAGCCTACTATGTCAATTTTTATTGTTAAGAATTCATATTAGCGATTTAAAAAAAATCTATGCACGGCACTGGATTCATCACCCCTCAAAATGACCCTATACTAAATTTTATTAATTTTAAGTAGGAACAATCTTGTAGCTAAATTAAAAATGCACAATAATTACTATTTACAAAAATTTATTTTCTTAAGTTATCCATGAAAAAAACATGGTATACATTTTTTTTCGCTTAGTTTTAACAATTAAAAAATGCAATAAAAACTTAAAACAACAATAAAGCAGAAAATAAAGAATTCCGAAAATTCTCTACAATACATTTTTGTCACCATTTTAATACACTTTTATATTTGTTCTGTAGTAATGGCTGCGCAGGCTTGCATTACCCTAGCCCGTAGTTCTTGTGCAGTAGAGGTGTCGAAAATCTAAATGTAGAGAATTTTATATTTTTTGTTTCATTGTTCTTTTAAGGTTCTATTGCGTTTTTTATTTGTCAAAACCAAGCATAAGAATATTTATACCATGTTACTATTAGTTTCCAGTTGGGTCTTGACTCTTGAAGTGTAAGGACGCTCAAAGATAGTTAACGAGACCCCTCCTAAGCAGCGTATACGATACAAACGTAGTAAAGTACCAAAAGCGAATCTAAGTATGCGGAAATATCGGTAATCGGTAATAAATGAACAAACAAACAAGTACGAAAAATGCAACAAGTGCGAAAAGCGCGCCGTAAAATAAAATAAAAATCAATATCGATTCTACACGTGATAACTGGTTAACGGCGTAAAATAACAAAAAATCAATCAATATCGATTCTACACGTGATAACTGTCCCAAGTGCAAAATAGTGCAAATTGTGTGTGGTACCTCCCCCTGGATTAAGTCCTCAAGTGTTTGACCTGGTTAAAAGGTGTGAGAGAGACGATCAGTTTCAATGAAAATTTCCTGGGCTACCACACGTGCGGGCGACATGCAATAAGGATCAATTTCAGCACACCTGCCTGGCAAATATCCCGAAGTCCAAGTCTGCATAAACTAGATAAGTAGCTACCAAATTGCATGACCATGACCACCCAATAATATTAATACTAGTTAATACGAAATACGCTAACTAACAATTCTTCAGGTAAAATTAATTAGTCGCAAACAATTTCCAAGATTCTCAGGCAAACGAAACAGTAAAAAAAACTATAAACACAAGGGCACATAAGAAGCCATTAATCACTCAAGTTACGATAAACATTAGGCAAAAGAAACCATCCTAAGGAAATTTATTTATTTATGTTTACATAATATGTATTATATTATATAGACGTAATATATTATATAGACGTAAGGGGGTCATAAATTAGGTAAAAACCGTTCTAAGCGTAAATAGCCGCAATGCACAGTGAGGCGCAAAGATGGACCCAACCCCAAGTGAAGGGGATCACGCACAGTGGGAAATAAATAAATAAATAAATAATTCGAGGGTCGACAATTCCAGTAGGTTAAACGAATTTCCACATAGTCAGAGGGCACTAATTACGGCGGGGTCCGGTTCTGAAGATAAGACTCAATATCGCACAGGGGGGCAAACAATTCTAAAGCGGCTATCAGGAACCGAAACCCGACTCGGACAGCGACGAACAGGAAGTACACCATCAAGGAAAGGCGCTAGCAGCATACTAATCCACCTACCCCCATTCAGGAATCCCAAATGAATGGGGTTATTACTAAAGCCCTGGTTGAGGAGGATTCCGGATTGTACTTAGTTTTGGGTCAGTTCAATGTCCTCCAAAAACACTTCCTAAACTGGACGTATGGCCCGACCCGGCTGACAAAAATCCCGGGAGCGACCTTTGACTCTGTCATCCACGACCTCTTAGGGTGGATCTACCAGCCGGCGTAAAAACTTCAGACCCAACAAACACAGGTAATGCTGTGATTTGGCGGGATACGCAGGAGAACGGAAAGGGGGTAAAATAACCCCGGGAGATTAGTGGAGGATAATATATTTGGGGCCTGCCATACGTTCCCATACTCATACTTATACTCATGTTACTATTAGTTTAATTTTATTTCAATAATTTTTTCATGCACTTCAAGTTATTAACTTGACATAATATATTTTTGTAAATAGTCATTATTGTTCATTTTTAATTTGGCTCCAAAATCGTTCCTACTTAAAGCTTTTCAATAAAATTTAGTTTAGGGTCGTTTTGAGGGGTGGTGAATCCAGTGCCGTGCATAGATTTTTTTATACCGCTAATATGAATTATTAAAAATTGTCTCTCAAAAACATGGTGGTACAGTTTATCAAGATTTACACTTTAAAACAAACTCGGTTAAAATTGCACAATAAATTATTATGTGAATCTACGAGGTTTTCATATATGAAGAAGGCAAGTTGGAAGTTTAAAGAGTGCATTAGTCAAACTAGTGAAATTATAAATGATATAAACAAAGAACGATCCAGAAAAAGGAGTACAATTTTTCGATTACAATATCATAGAAACAATGAGGGCTACTTTAGAAATGTTAGTAAAGTTGGCGAACTAAACCAAAAAATGGATGTTGTTATGTGAAAATAATAAATTAAAACTGGAAAATGTCACACTTAAGGCAAACCAATCTGTTAAAAGTTCCTCATATGCCGGTGCAGCAAGTAAAAATAACAAAATTCTCGTCGTAAAACGAAAGTTACCCAAAAAGACATAAAGCAAGTAAATGATGATATAAAAATAAAGTAGATCCAGCGGAGATACGAATAGGTGTCGAGCGACAAAAAATGGAGATATAATTTTAAATTGTGGTAGTGAAAAAAAAATTTCAAGCGTTCAATCGGAGATACAGACCAAACTTGGAGAAAATTACCATAGCAACCTTAGTTCTTCATACAGAAAAAATATTGGAAATTGCAATGTTTTTTTTTAAATCCCTATTTTCCACAAAAATAAATATATCAAGGTGAACCAAAAACAAAACTGTTAAAAATATTTGTGACTTGATAATTAAAACTTAATTTAGAACAATATACGGTTTTGCCACTACAGAGTGTCTTAAACTTATGGTAAAAAACATGTATTTTTTTTAAACATGTATATTATAAACGTACGTGTATTTTTTATTAATTTTTAAAATGTGAGCGATTCTCCATTAATGTATCTACAATATTCTTTAATATTTGTTTAAATCTGAAATCAAATAAAAAAGTTATTTGCGATTGAAATTCATCTAAAATTTGTGTGGATCGATTATTTTGCCTGTGAGTGTGGTTTGTAGTGAAATTGAAAGATAAATTGAATATATTTTAAAATAAAATCACTCAAATATTTGAATTAGGAGTTGTGACAAGCCAAGGTACTGATATTTTGAATATTTATTATATTTTTCTACAAACGTGTCTACAAGTTTAAAAAAACATGGATCTTTTGTAATGTACTGAAATATTTACAAAAAATATTAAAATACCTACTCTATTGACTGATGTAATCAAGTTGCCCAACTTTTGTAGAATCACCCATAAAAGAATTAAAAATTTCCAAAAAAAAATTTTTTTTTATAAATACCAATTAGATTTGGGTATTGCATTAAATTATATTCTTCTTTACTTCTTAACTGTCAAGGATATTTGAATAATAAAGACAATATAAATGTATAAATGTATGAATGGCGACCAAAATTATTATTTTTGTCTGAAACTATTGGATTTATGTGAACTTAACATTAAAGGTTACCCAGTTGAACAGTGCGTTACAAATAACAGAAGGACGGCTGGTGTAATGGCTCTTATAAGGTATGACATTAAATATAAACTAAAAATTGTGCAATGCGTTGAAAATTTTGTTTGGTTATTGTCTATAAAACTATCTATATCCGGACTAAATTATTAATTTATTTATTTATTTTAATGAGGGTATCAATATTATTGTCGGTGACTTTAATTATGACCTAACAAAATACTCTTTCTATGCCATAGAAAGAGTATTTTGTTAAAATCTATGGTGATAAAATATTAAGCAATATATTTTCTAATGGTTTCACGCAAAATGTTGATACCCCCACGCGTATTACAAATGTTAGTAGTACACTTATTGATTACTTTGTAACTAATAATAAGAATTTATCATTTAAAGTACATTTGTCCCCAAAATAAGTGATCATTGCTTAATGTCAGTTCAACTTGAACGAAAAACATTACTACCCTCAATCGCAGATCAATGAAAAATTATAACACCAATAATCTACATTGTAGATTCTACAAGACTACTTACTCGACATTGAATGGAACAATAGCACCAGTAAAGTAAATGTTCTAGCAAATAATTTTACTAATGACATCAGCAAGATTTTTAACAAAATGTGTCCTAAAAAACCATTTATTTTTGTAATAAATATAAAAATAAAAAACGAATCACACCTCAAATTAAAAAACAAATGGAAGAAAGAGACAGTTTATATGTTAGAGCAGAACATGAAAAAAACAATGTTATTTGGTCTGAATACAAAAGATTGCGAAATTGCATAGTGAGTTCAATTAAATGTGAAAAAGACATTTTTTTAAACAAACTATACATGATAATAAAAATAACTCTTGTAAAATGTGGAAAATTTTAAAACTATTGTTACCTGAAAAAATAAGCTCTGCACCTGCAGAAGTAAATTTTGAAGGCACAATCATAAAGAATGAAGTAGTCATTGCAAATAAGTTTAATAATTACTTTGTTAATATTATAGTGGACATTGTAAGTGGTATCCCAAAATAACATACAGTTGCAGTATACTTACTTATATAATGTTGAACTGTCCCTTGTATCCCATGTTTTTGAAATTCCCTTTACACCGGAATATTTCCAGAAGAATGGAAGAGATCCATAATTGTGCCAGTACCAAAAGTCCAAAAAACAATACTTCATAATCAGTTTAGGCCCATTAATACCGTCGAAGTAAACGAAATTAGTGGTCAAGAAACAGTTTCAATATCATTGCGACGTAAATAACATTTTAGTGACTAACCGGTTTCGATCAAATCATTCATGTGATCCATTTGTTAAATTCATTGATAAGGGTAAAATAGTGCTGGCTGTATTTTTACATTTAAGGAGAGCATTCGAAACTGTTGATAGGGATATATTAATAAATAAACTAAACAAATATGGTCTAAACGCAACAGTGTTTAAGTGGTTTAAGTCTAAGTTTAACTAATAGACAGCAAAAAGTCAAATACAAAAACGCAACCTCAAATCCTGTTATTATAAATTATGGAGTACCGCAAGGTACTGTGTTAGGTCTATTATTATTTTTGTTATATGTTAACGATATAGTAAAGGTTGTCAACCATTGTCAAATTGAATTATTTGCAGACGACACGATGGTTTATGTAAGCGGAATTGATGTTAAACACATGGAAACAATTCTAAATCATGATCTTGATTGTATATTCAAATGGCTGTGCAATAATAATTTAAGTATAAATACCGATAAAACCAAATTTTGCTTGTTTGGAAGAAAATCAAAATTAAATCTGACTGCATTAAATAATGTTAATATTGTGATAAATAACATAAATATAATGCCTGAAAACCAGATTAAATACCTGGGTGTTATATTTGACAATGAGTTAAATTTCCATGCTCACGCAGACTATATATTGCGAAAGTTTTCTTAAAAAGTTAGCTTTATTTCTAAAATTAGTAAGCACTTAACGATGCATACAAAATAGTTATTGTACAACAGTATAGCATCACCGCATCTTGAGTTCTGCTCCACCATTCTCTACAATTTACCCAATTATGTGATACAAAAGTTCCACGTGGTACAAAATAGAGCTTTTCGAACAATATTAAAATGTAATTATTATACACCTGTTTTATCTATGTTGAATGAATGTAAATGTGCTTTCCGTCAAACAAAAAATTATATTTAATGCGTTTCTGTTGATTTTTAAAGTAAAACACCTCGTTATATCTGTGAGAAAACACAATATTTTAAGGAGGTCCACTCATATAACACGAGAAATTGTAATGATTTTATATTAGTTGATAAGTGCAACACCAGTCAAATGCTAAACTCTATAATGTATAAAGGTCTTTTAGAATTTAATAAATTGACCAAAGATATTAAACTGTGATGATATTAAACAATTTAAGAGATTACTTAGAACACATGTTTTATTAAGCCATTAAAACATTATGTTTGTTATTGTACTTTTTACATTTATTCATATATTTTTATAATTAGGTAGATATATTTCTTATGTTATGTTTTTTAAAATGCAAATTTATCCACTTGTCTATTTTATTTTATTTTATTAATTTTATTTCTAATTTACTTTGTATTTCATATGTAGCTTTTGCTAAATAAATATTATTATTATTTTACAGGGGTGAGTCACAAACAAATGGGCCACACTGTATAAAACTTACTTTTTTTCGAAACTCCTAGGAATAACTTAGTTACAAAGATTTTTGATTTTAGTTTTTTTTTCAAATTATTTGAGAACAGCTGATTTTGTTTTGTTTAAAATTTTTAAATGTCATGTTAATGGTACGCAACTTTTTTCTAATTCAACCAACTTGGTGCACCAATTTGAAATGATTGTAAAAAAGGAGAAATCATGGGCATATTTCCAAATTTCTATGAACTTATAATTTTAATAGTATCATTGTTTTTAGAGGTTCTAAAAACAATTATACTAGTTTTAACGATTTTATTTAAAAATTTTAGTTATATGGCAGATATTGAAGCCTGGCAGGAATTGAGTGAATTATACTTGAATGAAAATGAATTCAACAAGGCTGCTTTTTGCGTAGAAGAATTAATCATACACAATCCTCACAATCATTTATTGCACCAAAGATATGCGGATATTAAGTATTCTCAGGGTGGTCAAGAAAATATAGAAATAGCAAAAAATTATTATTGCCAGGCTTTAAAACTAAATCCAAATAATATTAGGGCTCTTTATGGGGTTTATTTGGTAAGTAAATCATGTTTATGTGCACAAAATATATTTTAAAATAAACTTTTTCTTTTTTTTTAGACTGGAACTCACACTTCGATTACGAAAAATGCACAAAAAAAGAAAGATTCTTCCAAGTTAGTCGAATGGAGTGTAAAAGAAATTGAAAAAAGATATTCCAAAGTTTCATCTCCACTTTCAGACTTGGAGGAAAGATTAGCAGCACTAGAAGTTTAATTTTATAAATAAAGGTAACTGAACTTTTACTGCTTTAATCTGTATTAGTTAAATCATTGGTGTACCTAAGATATTTGTTGTTTTTTATCATACAGATTGGAAATTGTATAAAATTTATATTCCATATTAAATTACAAAGCAAAGCTAGATTCATTATTTATTATTTACATCAAATGCAAATTTTAATAAAAAAAATAGTTTAAAAAATAGTTTTATTTATTTAACAACCTATACTACATTGAAACTACTTACTACTATTACTAGGTGTATTGTTGCAAACACAAGTGTGTTCAGTGAGCATATGCTCAATATTTTTTAGGCTCCTCAAAATCTCATTGTTTAACAGGTCCTGCTTAATTTTTACATTATTAATTTGATCAGATAATTTCGCAAACACAATCTCCCTGGAAATTTTAATTTTTAATTCCTCGTTTTCTTCAGTCTTTTCGTTTAAATTGCCTAGTTCTCCTTCGATTATATTTTGAGTTGAATCAATAGTACTTTTTATGCCATCTGTTTTTGGAGCTGTGTCTTCGCTGAACCAATTGTGCATCAATTGAAAATAGGGCCATGTTATGTTTACAGTGCTTTCATGCCTTAACAATTGTTTATATCTCTGCACTAGGTTTTGCCAACACTTGCTTAGTTGTTCCACTGAATATCTGTCTTCACATTGTAGAAGTGTTCTTATAATCCTAAGCATTATACAATATGTAATGCTTGAATAATATTTATAGTCCAGTATAAATGATGAACAAAATTTAATTTTGGGTCAACATTTTTGACGCTGATTTAACGCAAATACAATTAGACTGGACTATTTCTTCCATAATACTTACATCCATCCATATCTGGCAGTATATTTTTTACCAGTGAATAGGTGACGATGATTATATCTGAGCTCGATCAGTTTTCTTATAAAATTTTGCCGTTCATCTAAACATTATTTTAAAACAATATCAAAACTTACAAATCAAAACTTACCATTATTAATCGCATTTAATAAACTACTATCACTTTTTTTGTCCAAATCCTCACCAGGTTTTGGCGAATACTTTGTTCCAAATGCTCTATTTATCTGCTCAAAGTAAGGCCATGTAACACTTTGATCGTCCACAACCGAATTCTTTATTTGCTGAAAAAATTATTTTTTGGAAATGTTTATTTTAAATACTTTTTATTACTCTAAATCGCGCCATTAAATTCATCCATTTCTTTTTTATATTTGCCATTGTTATGTATTGAGGAGCACCTGATTCTTTGAGCTCCTCATACACTAATCTAAAAAATGCATTAAAAAATAACAAAAACAAAGAAATTAAACAAAATATTCAATATTACTTCCATCCATCTGAAGCAGAATTTCTATGCCTAGTAAATAACTTGGCATACTTCATCCTTAAATTTATAAGAACTTGGACCCATTCAGGATCAACTAAAAGAAATAAAAAAAACTATAGTTTTTATAAAGCTGCAAATTTTAAGAAACTCCCTCCTGATTAGTGAATTCTTCTATTTTAACCAATTTTTCAAATTTCTATAAACCTAAGTAATTATAATTGTTATACATTGTATATACATTGTATACATTTTTATAAAGTATATTAATAGTAAATTTACTTAAGCTTAACCTCTAAATTTTTAGAGTTTTTTTTTAGAATTTCAATATTGCGAAATATAATTGGTTAATATTTATAAACCTTGCTCTAATCAACCGATGAATTAGAATAAAATTTTTTCTATAGGGTTGCCAAATGAGAAAGTAAAATTCATGAGATTTGTCATTAGAATCGTAAGATTTCGGATAACATCGTTTCAATACATATGTATGTGTGAAGATACATTATAATACATTATATTACAAACACATCATTTTTATTGTCAATAGTAAATTTGCAATTTTGATTTTTTTGTAAATTTTGGACTTGATAAAAATAATTTTTCGTTCTTTTGTCTAACAAATAAATGTTATGATCACGTTAGGCACAAATCTTTCGAGAATTCTCCACGGATGTGGCTATAAAAAAGCATAAAAAGGCGATGAAGTTTTCGTTCATTTGTCATTTCTCAAAAGTAACCGTTTGGTCACGACCAAACACTCGGCAAACAGTCGGCCTACGCTCGGCATAGGCGGTTGACCGGCGGTTCGGCTTGCCCCAGCCGGCCCGCTTACGGCCCACGTTATGTTACCCCGGTACCGTTTAGCCATGTTCTAACCGAAGTCGGCCAGAATACGGCATGCCGCTGCAAAATCCTTAGGCTTGCCCTAGCCGGCCCGCTTACGGCTGGAATACGGCCTGCCGCGGCAAAAGCGATACATCTCACGGCTGCTGACGCATGCGAGCTTACTATAAATGGCGTTTGGTTGCAATATTTAGTTGGAAGTGTGCGTCCGTAATAGCTGAACATTAATTGTTTGGAGTCCCCATCTTCCATCCTCATCTGCCCAGTAACGAATAATGTCTAGCTAGTCGAGTGTGTTAAAAAAGTATCTTTGTATCATTCAGAGATATTTATATATTATGTGTCGCCTATTCTGGGGAGTTTAAATCAAGCAAAAACTTTAATAGGAATAAAATTGTCTAAGAAATGTAAAATTAAAATCATATAATTTTTTGTTCCTCTTTGTACTCTCTTTAGGGCGGGTCCCTCTCTCCACTCTTGTCACAAGGCTATGATTAGGATGCATGGGCATTTTTTTTAGTGCCCTACTCTCTAAAAATGAATTAGTCAAAAATGACTAAAATTACTACAAATATTAGTGGCAGCTTTTTCACTTATACCATGGTTAACCAAGGGATACCATGGTATCCCCAACATTTAATAGCCAATTATTATGTAAATTGTCCCCTGAATCCGAAATCAAAAATTATGAGCAGTTTTTGAGATATATATAGTCAATTCCATATTATATGAAAAATCGACTATATCTCAAAAACTGCTCTACATGTAAATGCATTTATAACTTTTGACGACATTTTCGGATTCAGGGGACAATTTTAGATGGGAATTGACTGCTAAATGTTCAGGATAAAAAATGCTATTGACAAAAAATATTAGTGGCTGCTTTTTCACATGTCATTGCAATTACAATTAGTCATTTTTGACTAATTCATTTTTAGAGAGTAAATCACGTTACATATTTCTTGCCTACATTTTTCCGCTCTCTCCAATATTACAGAATTACTTAGTTTTTTAATATATCAAAAACTAAATAAGCCAGGACCTAATCCTGTTTACAATTGAAAAAAACGTAGGCATAAAATTTGTAACGTGATTTTAAACAAGCTTGTGTATATACAAACAGTCCACTAGTGGAGTTTGGCTCTGGGGTACATTTAATACGGTTTTACAATTTAAACTTCACTGAATTTATTAATCTTATATATGGGCCATTCCACGCGTAACGGATGGGACAGTTGCAAGTTTTTATTTACAAAATAATATTGTTCTATTATATATATAATAGTAATAGTATTAGTAATATTACTAATCTCAAATTTTTAGAAATAGTTCTAAACAAAAGCTGTTTAACAAGGTTTTTATTTGTAGTAGTGTTTTTGAATAAAAAAATTATTTTTTAAGGAATTAAACGGTCAACCACGATACCTAATTTTGCCAAATAAAATCCTTGTTAAACAGCTTTTGTTTAGAACTATTTATAAAAATTTGACATTAGTAATATAATAGAAGAATGTTATTTTGTAAATAAAAACTTGCAACTGTCCCATCCGTTGCGCGTGGAATGGCCGATATATAAATTGTTTTTTCTTAATCACTCTAAAATACTCCATTTCTCTAGACTTCATTTTTGTAGAAAAATGTATCTTGTCATGGGTTTAGTTTTACCGTTGATTGAAAAACGGTTTTACCCATCATAGGTATAACATTAGGTTGTTTCAAAAAAGCCATTTTTTTGTTTTTTTTTTCTCGGAAGCACGCTCAACAAAAGTTTCGTATAGATATAAAAATGAGCCTGTGAAAAAATGAGCTCTTAATATTTCAAAATTAAGATGCTCCTCATTGCACTTTTCGATTTTCCATAAGAATAACATGGGAAAAATTATTTTTGTTTCTTTTTATTTTTGTAACTAACGAACAATAAGTCGTACTATAAAGTTACCCTGCTGAAAAAGCCGGGTGATTGCAGGTATGTGCGGGTGAAAAACCAAGCTGGTTTTACGCCCGGTTATATATGTATTTTGCCTGCCATACCAGATTTTGCCCGCACGCCTGCTTTCACCTGCGCTGCCGGGTGTAAATATCACCCGCAATTGACGTTAATTATATATAAGATTATGTTTTCGCCTGATTTCACCCGCGTTTACCTGCATTTTGATTTTCTGTTTTTGTCTGCATTCTCCCGGTTTCATCCGCGAACGTACGTTTTTACATGCGTACTTCTGCATTCGTCCGCGAACGTCTGCATTAACCCGCGAACGTCTGATTTCACCCGCGAACGTCTGCTTTTGCCTGTTTTCACCCGCAAACGTCTACTTTTCCCTGCAAACGCCTGCTTTGACCCGCAAACGTCTGCTTTTACCCGCGAACGCCTGATTTCATCCGCGAACGTCTGCTTTCATACTTTTTCACCCGCAAACGTCTGCTTTCACCTGCGAACGCCCGGTTATACATGTCTTTCGCCCGGTTAGTGCAAACTCGCAATCATCTGCAATCACCCGCGATCGCCGGCATTTAGTTTGATTTACTTTCGCCCGGTTTCATCGGCAAACGTCGGATTTCGTCTGCGAACGCCTGCTTTCACCTGCGTACGCCTGCTTTCACCCGCAAACGTCTGCTTTTACCCGCGAACGCCTGATTTCACCCGCAAACGTCTGCTTTTGCCTGTTTTCACCCGCAAACGTCCACTTTTACCTGCAAACGCCTGCTTTTACCTGCAAATGCCTGCTTTCACCCGCAAACGCCCGGTTATACCTGTCTTTCGCCCGGTTAGTGCAACCTCGCAATCATCTGCAATCACCCGCGATCGCCGGCATTTAGTTTTATCTGCATTAACCCGCGAACGTCTGATTTCACCCGCAAACGTCTGCTTTTGCCTGTTTTCACCCGCAAACGTCCACTTTTACCTGGAAACGCCTGCTTTTACCTGCAAACGCCTGCTCTCACCCGCAGACGCCCGGTTATACCTGTCTTTCGCCCGGTTAGTGCAACCTCGCAATCATCTGCAATCACCCGCGATCGCCGGCATTTAGTTTTATCTGCATTAACCCGCGAACGTCTGATTTCACCCGCAAACGTCTGCTTTTGCCTGTTTTCACCCGCAAACGTCTACTTTTACCTGCAAACGCCTGCTTTCACCCGCAAAAGTCTGCTTTTACCCGCGAACGCCTGATTTCATCCGCGAACGTCTGCTTTCATACTTTTTCACCCGCAAACGTCTGCTTTCACCTGCGAACGCCCGGTTATACCTGTCTTTCGCCCGGTTAGTGCAACCTCGCAATCATCTGCAATCACCCGCGATCGCCGGCATTTAGTTTTATCTGCATTAACCCGCGAACGTCTGATTTCACCCGCAAACGTCTGCTTTTGCCTGTTTTCACCCGCAAACGTCCACTTTTACCTGCAAACGCCTGCTTTCACCCGCAAACGTCTGCTTTTACCCGCGAACGCCTGATTTCATCTGCGAACGTCTGCTTTCATACTTTTTCACCCGCAAACGTCTGCTTTCACCTGCGAACGACTGCTTCGCTTCGTCTACGAACGCCCGCAAATGTCGGCTTTCGTCCGCGAACGTCTGATTTTATCCGCGAACGTCTACTTTTACCCGCGAACGTCAGCTTTCACCCGCAAACGTCTGCTTTTACCCGCAAACGCCTGATTTCATCCGCGAACGTCTGCTTTCATACTTTTTCACCCGCAAACGTCTGCTTTCACCTGCGAACGCCCGGTTAGTGCAACCTCGCAATCATCTGCAATCACCCGCGATCGCCGGCATTTAGTTTGATCTAGGTACCTATACCTAGATCAAACTAAATGAAAGTATACTTTCGCCCGGTTTCATCCGCAAACGTCGGCTTTCGTCTGCGAACGCCTGCTTTCACCTGCGTAAGCCTGTTTTCACCCGCAAACGTCTACTTTTTCCTGCAAACGCCTGCTTTCACCCGCAAACGTCTGCTTTTACCCGCGAACGCCTGATTTCATCTGCGAACGTCTGCTTTCATACTTTTTCACCCGCAAACGTCTGCTTTCACCTGCGAACGACTGCTTCGCTTCGTCTACGAACGCCCGCAAATGTCGGCTTTCGTCCGCGAACGTCTGATTTTATCCGCGAACGTCTACTTTTACCCGCGAACGTCAGCTTTCATCCCTTCCCATAATTTCTTAACTTTAAAGGAATTATTTAAATTTAAAAAAATGTAAAGAAAATAAATTTATTGGATTTTGACATTGTTTCGCAAAACAAAAATTAAGTCT